AATTCCTCATCCTACATATTGATAAAACAATTGATGAGAAATATTTTACGCTGTCATAGAGTAAGAATAGAAGTCACAGTAACAGGCATAACAACTATGTATAAATAATTATGTCATTATGTCAAAATATAGGAAATATTTATATCTAAAGTTGTGAAGAAACAGAATTTGGTTCAACTTAGTTAAAAATGTAAATATTAACTATATTCCAAATAGAATGTTATTACTTGGAATCTCATCATAAAGAAAATATATCTTACAGTCTAGGAATTCCATCCAGTAGAAGCACCAAAGATGATGATAAGTATATACAATTCTGATTAAAATTTATGTAAGTGAGATGAAATAGTAAGATTTGTAATTTGTGGAAATGAACCATATTTCTAAGCATTCTCACCCATTCCAATGACAGGAATGTCAGAATGCCTTGTGAAGGGCCTGGAAAAGAGGAGAGGAGGGGAGGGAGATTGGCCACAAAGGATTTGACTGTTTCTCTTTCCCACACTCACTGTAGCACCTTTTTAAAAAACACAGATTGTTTAGATGTTCGGTACACTTGAAATATTTATGTGGGCTAGGGACAATTTGAATTCTAGTTTGGAAGGCATTTGAGTGTGGAACCTTGGAGTAAAGCAAGTGATAATTAGTGAAGAGAAGAAAGAGGTGGACATTTTCAGCAGAGCATGCGGCCTATGAACAGATCTTGAGTCAGGGAATGTGGAACGTCAGAGACATAGCTAACACATACACCTCCTTCATGTCTGTCTTTCTGCTTCAGCCTCACCCTGGCAGGCACTTGTAATATAAAATAGGAGAAATATTATTAATAAAGAGAATTCTTTACCATATGGATGTACTTTGAAGAAGAATATAAAAATACCTAGTGCCTTCCTAAAATTAAGCAAGAAAATTTTGTTTTCTTTGTATGCTTGTTATAGTTCTCAGAGAAGGAGATGTTGGCAGGGTGGTGACAGGAGGAAGAATGAGAGAAGTACAAAAATGTAAGGAGCAAGCAGGGTCAGGGCACTACTTACCACTCCTTGTTAAGTAAAAACTGAACAGTAATTGAAGAAAATAGTAATAGCAGGGGCAGTAGTAGCAGTATAAGTAATGATAAGAAAAACAGAAATAACAATGACTTCTTTTCATTATTTATATGTTTTAGATGTTTTCAATAGACGACCTCACTCTAATAAACTCTATTGAACACCACTCTATTGAACACCACCAACCCTATCAACATGCTGAGGTGGGTGATAATAGTGTATACGTTTTACTGTAAATTTAGGTTTAGAGAAGTTATTGTCTTACTTAATGTTAAACACCTAACAAACGGTGGAAATGAAAAAAGAACCAAGGGACTGAGTAAATGGTTGGAACCGTCCTCACTGCGACCTGCATTACTATTACTATTAAGATTTTCTTTCTTTAATTGGTCTGCTCTATTTTTCTGGTAATGGACTCCAGGTCTCCAACTTCTCTCCCCTCCTTCTCTCTTAATTCCATCCAATCAGGCTCTTGACCTCTCATCACTCCAACGAATCTGATTTCATCAATGTCACTCATGATATACAGCTTCTTAAATTTAGTGATCTATTTGCATCCTGGTTTTATTTGATTTATTAGAAGCATCTGACACAACTCCTTTCTCCTTCTTCTACTTTTTTCACTTGACTTTCAGGACTGAATACTCTGTGGGATTTTCTCCCCTATCGTTAGAGTTGCTTCTCGGTTTCTGTGGCTGCATCCTCTTCTCTTGGGCTTTTAAAACTTGCAGAGGCCTTAAGCCTAGTCCTTGTTGATCTCATTCATCCTCATGGCTTAAATACTACCTGTGTACTCACAGCTGTCAAATGTGTATCTCTAATCCACAATTCTTTTGTGAATTCCCATACTTAGGTTCTCGTACTTAAAACGTATATTCATCACCACCTGGGTTGTCTCTTTAGAGATCTTAATTTAATATGTCCAAGTATAAACTCAGGATGATCTCACAAAAATCTTATCTATCTGCAGCCTTAACTATTTCAGTTGATGGAAAATTCTTCCTTCTAGTTTCTCTGGCCAAAAAAAATCTTTGTTTTACCCTAGAATCCTTTATTTATTTTTAAAACACTACATCTAAACCATCATAAAATCATGCCAGCTCTACCTTAAAATATATTGAACTCCAACCACTTCTTCCCATTTCTACTTCTCCCACTCTAGCCTGAGCCACCATCACCTCTCGCCTGGATTTCCATAAGAGCCTTCTACGAGTTCTTCCTAATGCCCAAGAGCTTAGACCCTGAAACACAGCTGCCAAAGTGAATCTTTTAGAACATAAATCAGATTACACCACTCTTTTGCTTAAAACTCTGTATGGCTACTCTATATTCAGCATAAAAGCCAAGATATCTGCAATGCTTATCAGTAGAGTGATCACATAATTTATGATCCAACCTAGATTAGAGAGTGAAAGAAGGACTTATAGCAATTATGACAGAAGAGTAGACATAAAAATAAGTTGGCCAGGACAAGTGGGATGTTTCCTCGCCCTACTACTGAAGTGCATGATGATTTGCCCCCATTGCCTATCTGATCTCTTCTGCCATCACTCTTCTTTGTGTTGATTCTGTTTTCATTACTCGCACTTCCTTTCTGTTCCTCAAACACACCACGCAGCCAGGCACACATCTACTTCAGGACTGGGGCTCCCACCCTGTTCTCTCCGCCTAGAATATTATCTCGAGAATTCACTAGGATTACTGGGTCCTACCCTGACCCTCTATTTAATACTGAAATCTAAACCCTCATCAACATTTCTGTAATGCTGTGAATCTTATACTGGAAAACTATGCACATAACAAAGTGCTGAGTATATTGTAAAAAATAAATGCTAGCTATTATCATCAGTAGCATCATTATAACTAGATATTCCTTTGGTAAATCAATAAATTTTGAAAAGCTTTAAAGAATGGCAGATACAAAGTATGGCAGCTACATTGGTATGTTTACCTAATTATTAATATGCTATTAATGCTCAGAATACCTAGAAATGGGTTTAGAGATGGATACAAGCCATTTGACTTTGAACAGTAAGATCTAGGTATACCACGTTAGAATCAGGATAGTGCTAACTCTGATACATATCCATATATGTGATTTGTAAAATATATATTTTTTAAAAAGTAAATACAGAGTTTTACAAGATATTTTCTTAAACAATCAAATATTCTGCACTACAGCCTTTAAAAATTTGCATAGCCTTTTCATGTCCTGAAAGAAAGAGCCATACAGTGTGGGTTTTATCAATCTGTATTTTTCAGAAGTATTCTAAACATACTCATCAATCCACCACAGACAACCTACTACCTAAACACCTTTCCCTTTTTTTTGTAATTTCAGATAAACTCAAGAACACTAAAATAATAACAATAACGTACCAATGAAAATACTAATAGTATCTTCCTCCAGGCAAATATTTTAAAAATAGGAATAAGCATTTTATAAGGTCTGTTCTTTTTAGAATTACAAATAAAATTTGTTTGAAAATAGATATTTAGATAGATAGTTGTATATGTAATGTGCACAATGTATATTAATATTGAATGACTAATCTCCTGTCTGAGATTTCCATAAGTAAAAGGGAATGCTGGCTGTGTTAGGCAGGGTTCTCCAGGGAAACAGAACCAGCAGGATATAGAGATAGAGACAGAGGCAGAGACAGAGATAGAGGTGTACAGAAAGAGATTTATTATGAGGGATTGGCTCATGTGATTATGGAGGCTGAGAAGTTCCATGATCTGTAGCCTGCAAATGGGAAGCCCAGGAAAACTGGTGGTGTAGTTCTAGTCCAAATTTGAAGAGCTGAGGAACTGGAGAGGCAATGATGTAAGTCCCAATCTTAGTCCAAAGGCTCAAAAACCAGGGGTGCTGAAATTCAAGAGCAGGAGAAGACAGATGTCCCACCTCAACAGAGAACAAATTTGCCCTCCGCTACCTTTTTGTTCTATTCAGGCCCCCAAGGTATACAATGATGCCTACCCACATTGGTGAGGATGATCTTTTTCACTCAGCCTACTGATTCAAATGCTAATATCTTCCAGAGACACCTTCATAGACACACCCACAAATAACGTTTTACCAGCTCCCTGGGCATCCCTTAGTCCAGTTGAGTTGTCACAAAAAATTAACCATCATTGCTGAGCAGTGATCTCTTTCTAAATTAGTGATTAGTTTATTCAGCAAACATCTGCACAAAACCTATAATATGAAAGCAATGTACTAATATATTTATTCCTTTAGTTTACTAGATTTACAACATAATTTAAACCAGCTGGTTACCTTCTATCTTCTATTCATCAAAATCTAATCGTACCATGTAATATTTTTCCTCCATAAGGGGAATTACATTCTCGGATGCTTCACTAGATGATTTTTAAGGCACTTGAATCTACTTGTTGCCTAACATTCTACAGGGTTCAATCTGGACCATTCCTGGGAACTCCTACAAAGTCTTATAACTTTTCTGGGAAATTAAGCTATAGTGTCCTAACTAAGAAGATTATTTTGAGGACAAGCATAACATGGGCTTCTCCTTTTACTTGTCTGAATACTACACATTATCACAAGGTTATGGAAATTGTTCAGTAAATAAATATCCACAATGTGAAAGTGATAAAGAAATGCAGATTTCAATTTCCATTATTCCTTTGAATATTAAATATCATCTCTGTCCAACTTCTTTCGAAAGAGGTCCTCAGAGTTATCAGAGGACATAGGTAAGTGTTTTTTCTCCTTTGAAGCGAGGTACCACGGCATAAGTGAAGCTATGTGTAATTCAAGATTAGGAAATTTGAGCTTAAATTTTGCCTTTAATGTTGTCTTATGCTGTAGTCTTAGACGAGTTAACTCAAAGTGGAGGTGAAAGGATAATGATTCCTTGAGAATTTTTGTGAAAATGAATTGAGATGGGATATCTAACCCTCAGATTACAGGGCAAATAGTTATTGCTGTTTACCCTCTGGGCACATTTTAACTTCATATAATTTTATGTCATTTTACAAGGAATTTACAAATATCATAAAGACTTACTGAAATCAACTTTATTAAATATTAATACATTTTAAATATAGTAAAACTATTTTAATCAGTAAATTTTTGTCCATAGACATCACTGGAGATGAAAGAATACTTTCATCTTTTAACAATGTGGGACTGTCCAGATTTTTATTTCAAACTGTTGCGTGAAGTACTTTCCTTTGAAGGACTAACTGGAGGAGAATACTGTATTTCCATTTTTTTTTTCTTGGAAATACATTGTTTAGGGATCAATTCTTAAGTTTGAGAAAATTTATTTAAAATATCGTCATCTGAAGACACATAGTCTGATTTCATTAATATGAAAATTTCATCGTACCGTTAGAGCCTAAGTGCTGCAATCTTTTCCTTTACATTCATTCATTCTTCTGATCGTATTCACCTTATGGCTATGGAATGTGAAATTTCTTCTCTTTGTCATCATGGTTGGAAAATAGAAACTTCTAATTCTCATATTGAGTGGATCTGAAAGCAAACTACAGAGATGCTGCCCCTAGTATTTTCTAACACTTTCTTAAAAGATGATGCAATAGTTGGATAACACAATAAAAACACAGAAAAATAACAATTTATTCCACTCTTGTGTCCTCCTCCTAAGTGATCTCACCACTCTTTTGTTTTCTTATTACTTATCTTTTTCCAGCTTAGCTGGAATAACTGATGAGTAATCATGAGTAATGATGGAAGAATTCTTAAGATGATGAATTAGAAAATGTTTCAATACAGAGAAATAAAATCATGATCTCATATTCATTTTAGATTCTTTACAGAATCCATGGACCAAAATGATAATCGCAAGGGAGTATGAATTATATTCTACGAAAAAAGGTAAAGGCTATTTTTGTTCTTTGGAAGGACTCAGAGAATAAAAGTCATGAAATATGGACCCTTGAAAACAGAGTTGTTCAAAAGAGAAACTGAAAAGCTAAAATCGATCCAGTGATCCTAATGTTTACCAAGGGTTAATCAACTTGGCACACCATATATGTTCAATAAAAATCAGCCTTATTTTCTTTTTCTAAACGACGTCTTGATTTCTTGAACCCTGAAGAAAGAAGGGTTTGGATTTTGGAAGATAGTAGAAAGAAGAAAGCAATAGAGGCAATATGTGCATCTATATATTTAAACAGTGTAAACTGTAAAATAGTAAATAGTATTTAATATGCGCACATACATACATATATGCATGCATACAGTATATATGAATTTACATATACACACATACACAGACACACCATCTCCACTCTTTAAACTGATGCCACAAAATGCACATTTTCATAAATACCGTTTTAAGATATTAGAGTGGTTTGGCTGTAATATCGGCTACTTCACTAGAATTTATTTAAGATTGTCATAAATTAAACCAAAAAAAAATATCAAGACTAGGATCTCTTATTTGGGGGGAACGTAATGCATTAGGATGAGGCATACTGGTTTTGAAATATATCAGTCTTGGAGAATTGAAGCAACTCACTAAGGTGAATTCACTGAAATAAACTGGATTAGTGGAAGAGGAAATCACGATGTGAACACTAGCTGAAATCTGAAAATTGGGTAAAAGTGGCAGCCCGCCGCGCTGCTCAGCCCTGGGGTCCCTCACGCCACTCAGGCGGCCGACCAAAAGAGTGGGTCAAAGTGGCAGCCCGCCGCGCTGCTCGGCCCTGGGGGACCTTTCCCCACCCATGCGGCCGACTGCCAGAGTGGGTCAAAGTGGCAGCCCTCCGAGGTGCTGAGCATGGGCGGGCCCGACCCCCACTCAAGTGGCCCATAGCTAGAGTGGGAAAAAGTGGCAGCCCGCCGCGCTGCTCAGCCCTGGCGGCCAACCCCCACTCAGGCGGCAGACCAAAAGAGTGGGTTAAAGTGGCAGCCCGCCGCGCTGCTCAGCCCTGGCGGCCACCACCCACTCAGTCGGACTACCGCCAGACTGGGTCAAAGTGGTAGCCCGCCGCGCAGCTCAGCCCTGGGGGCCCCACCTTGACTCAGGCGGCAGACCGCCATAGTGGGTCAAAGGGGCAGCCCGATGCGCTGCTCAGCCCTGGGGGCGCCCCACACACTGTGGTGTCCGACCGCCAGAGTGGCCCACATTGGCAGCCCGCAGCGCTGCACAGCCCTGGGGGTCCTCCTCCCACTCATGCGGCCGACCGCCAGTGTGGGTCAAAGTGGCAACCCGCGCGCAGCTCAGCCCTGGGGGACACAACCTGACTCAGGTTGCAGACCGCCAGAGTGGGTCAAAGTGGCAGCACGCATTGCTGCTCAGCCCCTGGGGCCCTCCCCCACACTCACGTGCCCAACCAGCAGAGTGGGTCAAAGTGGCAGCCCACAGCGCTGCTCAGCCCTGGGGGCCTCACCCCCACTCAGGCGGCCCACCCCCAGAGTGGGTCAAAGTGGCAGCCCGCCACGCTGCTCATCCCTGGGGGACCTTTCCCCACCCATGCGGCCGACCTCCAGAGTGGGTCAAAGTGGCAGCGGGCCCGACCCCCACTCAAGCGGCCCATAGCTAGAGTGGGAAAAAGTGGCAGCCCGCCGCGCTGCTCAGCCCTGGGGTCCCTCACCCCACTCAGGCAGACGACAGCCAGAGTGGGTCAAAGTGGCAACCCGCCGCGCAGCTCAGCCCTGGGGCCCCTCCACCACTCAGCCAGACGACAGCCAGAGTGGGTCAAAGTGGGAGCCCGACGCGCTGCTCAGCCCTGGGGGCCCTCCCCCACCACTCAGGCGACCGACGGCCAGAGTGGGTCAAAGTGGGACGCCGTCGCGCTGCTCATCCTTGGGGGCACTCCCCACCCACTCAGGAGGCCGACCACCAGAGTTGGTCAAAGTGGCAGCCCGCTGCGCTGCTCAGCCCTGGGGGGGTCCCAAACCCACTCAGTTGGCCGCCCGCCAGAGTGGGTCAAAGGGGCAGCTCGCCTTGCTGCTCAGCCCTGGGGGCCGCACCCCCACTCAGGCGGCCGACCGCCAGGGCTGGTCAAAGTGGCAGCCCGCCGCGTTGCTCAGCCCTGGGGTCCCTCTCCCCACTCAGGAGGCCGACCGCCAGTGTTGGCCAAAGTGGCAGCCCGCCGCGCTGCTCAGCCCTGGGGGCCCTCTCCCCACTCAGGAGTCTGACCGCCAGAGTGGGTCAAAGTGGCAGCCCGCCGACCTACTCAGCCCTGGGGGCCCTTTCCCCACCCAAGCGGCCGACCGCCAGAGTGGGTCTAAGTGGCAGCCCTCCGAGGTGCTGAGCATTGGCGGGCCCGACCCCCACTCAAGCGGCCCATAGCCAGAGTGGGAAAAAGTGGCAGCCCGCCGCGCTGCTCAGCCCTGGCGGCCACCCCCCACTCAGGCGGCCGACCGCCAGTGTGGGTCAAAGTGGCAGCCCGCCGTGCTGCTCAGCCCTGGGGGCCCAACCCTGACTCAGGCGGCAGACCACCAGAATGGTGAAAGTGGCAGCCCGCCGCGCTGCTCAGCCCTGGCGGCCACCCCCCACTCAGGCGGCCGACCGCCAGAGTTGGTCATAGTGGCAGCCCGCCGTGCTCTTCAGCCCCGGGGGACCCAAGCCCACTCAGGCGGCCGCTCGTCAGAGTGGGTCAAACTGGCAGCCCGCCGCACTGCTCAGCCCTGGCGGCCCCAACCCCACACAAGAGGCCGACCGCCAGAGTTGGTCAAAGTGGCAGCCCGCCGCGCTGCTCAGCCCTGGGGTCCCTCTCCCCACTCAGGCGGCTGACCGCCAGAGTTGGTCAAAGTGGCAGCCCGCCAAGCTGCTCAGCCCTGGGGGCCCCCCCCACCCACTCAGGGTGCCGACCACCAGAGTGCCTCAAAGTGGCAGCCTGCCGCGCTGCTCAGCCCTTGGGGCCCTCCCCACCCACTCATGCTGCCGACCGCCAGAGTGGGTCAAAGTGGCAGCCCGCCGTGCTCTTCAGCCCCGGGGGACCCAAGCCCACTCAGGCGGCCGCTCGTCAGAGTGGGTCAAACTGGCAGCCCGCCACGCTGCTCACCCCTGGGGGCCGCACTCCCACTCAGGCGGTCGTCAGCCAGAGTGGGTCAAAGTGGCAGCCCGCCTCGCTGCTCAACCCTGGCGGCCCGCCCACACCCACTCAGGCTGCCGACCACCAGAGTGGGTCAAAGTGGCAGCCCACCATGCTGCTCACCCCTGGTGGCCCCCGCCAACTCAGGTGGCCGACCGCCAGAGTGGGTCAAAGTGGCAGCCCTCCGAGGTGCTGAGCATTGGCGGGCCCGACCCCCACTCAAGCGGCCCATAGACAGAGTGGGAAAAAGTGGCAGCCCGCCGCGCTGCTCAGCCCTGGGGTCCCTCACCCCACTCAGGCAGACGACAGCCAGAGTGGGTCAAAGTTGCAACCCGCTGCGCAGCTCAGCCCTGGGGGCCCAACCCTGACTCAGGCGGCAGACCACCAGAATGGTGAAAGTGGCAGCCCGCCGCGCTGCCCAGCCGGGGCGGGCCCCCCTCTACTCAGGCGGCCGACAGCCAGACTGGGTCAAAGTGGCAGCCCGCCGTGCTGCTCACCCCTGGCGGCCACCGCCAACTCAGGTGGCCCACCGCCAGAGTGGCTCAAAGTGGCAGCCCACCGCGCTGCTCAGCCCTGGGGGTCCCACGCCCACTCAGGCGGCTGACCGCCAGAGTGGGTCAAAGTGGCAGCCCGCCGCGCAGCTCAGTCCGGGCGGGCCCCCCTCTACTCAGGCGGCCGACAGAAAGACTGGGTCAAATTGGCAGCACACCGCACTGCTCAGCCCTGGAGGCCCCCCCTACTCTGGCTGCCGACCACCAGAGTGGGTCAAAGTGGCAGCCCGCCGCGCTGCTCAACCCTGGCGGCCACCCCCCCACTCAGGGGGCGCACCGCCAGAGTGGCTCAAAGTGGCAGCCCGCCGCGCTGCTCAGCCCTGGTGTCCCTCAACCCACTCAGGCGGCCGACCGCCAGAGTGGGTCAAAGTGGCAGCCCGCCGCGCTGCTCAGCCCTGGGGGACCTCTCCACACTCAGGCGGCCGACCGCCAGAGTGGGTCAAAGTGGCTGCCCGCCGCGCTGCTCAGCCCTGGGGCCCTCATCACCCACTCAGGCGGCCTACTGACAGATTGAGTCAAAGTGGCAGCGTGCCCGCTGCTCAGCCCTCGGGGCCCCACCCCAATTCAGGCGGCCCACCGCCAGAGTGGGAAAAAGCGGCAGCCCGCCGCGCTGCTCAGCTCTTAGGGCCGCCCCCCCGACTCAGGCGGCTGACCACCAGAGTGGGTCAAAGTGGCAGCCGGCCGTGCTGCTCAGCCCTGGGGGCCCCTCCCCCACTCAGGCGGCCGACCGTCAGGGTTGGTCAAAGTGACAGCCCGGGGCGTTGCTCAGCCCTGGGGTCCCTCTCCCCACTCAGGCGCCCGACCGCAAGAGTTGGTCAAAGTGGCAGCCCGCCACGCTGCTCACCCCTGGGTGCCGCACTCCCACTCAGGCGGTCGTCAGCCAGAGTGGGTCAAAGTGGCAGCCCGCCTCGCTGCTCAGCCCTGGCGGCCCACCCACACCCACTCAGGCTGCCGACCACCAGAGTGGTCAAAGTGGCAGTCTGCGGCCCCGCTCAGCCCTGCGGGGGTCCCCACTCGGGCGGCCGATGGCGCAAGTGAGTAAAGTAAAAGTGGCAGCCCGCCGCGCCGCTCAGCCACGGGGCCCCCACTCAGGCTGCAGACTGTGTAAATGGCAGCCCCTGTGGCTGGGAAGTGCTTTGCATCTACAGAAGCCTCTGGAACTAGGGCTATGTTCTATATATTATACAGAATCCAGCACGAAATGTTCATCCAAGAACCCATGCAAAAGACGCCCATCCTATTCCGCTGTCTGCCTTCTAGAGGGAACCACTATTCCGATTCCCCTGGGGTTTTTTTGTTTGTTTTTTTTTGATACCTCTTTGTTGCTAAAATCCCACAGGTAGATTTTCTTAACACTATATTTTTAATATTATTTTAGAACATTATCAAAAGTATAAAACTGTACATTTTCTGTTTTGATTTGTGTTTTCATTGAATATTGTTTCTAGATTTAACAGCTTTGTTGAGGTATAAC